GAGAGCTGGTCGCAGTGGAGTGGGAGGGAGGCGGAGAGATTGGGGAAATTTTACCGCCGCCGCGCTCCATTTCCGGCGGGGTTTTCCCGGGCTTTTCGGCGCTTGGTTTTTTTTTTTTTAAATCTCACAAAGCTTTATTACTGAATCATAATGTTCATAGGTACAAAAAGAAGATCGCCGGGTTGTCCTAGCCAAGTGTGTCGGCCAAACCCTAAAGATAACGCATGCTTTGCGAGATTATGGGCCTCCGTATTGGAGGTCCTATACTCATGAGTAAACGAACATGAAATAAAGGTAGTTGCTCTAGTCTTGATTTCCTCGACAATGGCTCCAAATTCTGCTGAGCTTCCCTGTCTGATTGCATCTACCACCACCTTGCAATCGGAGGCAACAAGTAAATGGTTGATATAGAGATCTTCTGAAAGTGCTAATGCCTCCCGAACAGCTAGTGGTTCTAGCACTTGGGGGTTGTGCAGTCCTCTGAAAACGAGAGCTGACGCTCCCATGAACAAACCTCTCTCATCCCTGCAAACCACACCAACTGCGCCAAACGTACCTGGGCGTGACACGGCCGCGTCCACATTGAGTTTGTAGTAATCTGTTGGTGGTGGAATCCACGTACGGGGTCGTGGTACTGCTATCCCATTGATGGGCGCTTGGTGGGCGGCAACTAAAAGTGTGGATCGACAACTTACGGCCCGATTGATGATTTTTTTTAAAGAGAATACTATTCTTTTGATAGAACGTCAGCTTAAAAAGGTCCAGAAACCAGGTCCGATGCCATTCCAGAAATCAGAAGACTTAAAAAAAAGGTGTAGCTGGATTTAACCAAGTCTCAGTGACATTATATGCAAAAAAAGGAAAAGAAAAACTAAAAAGGAAATTTTGTACGGATCCCGTTATAAGATCTCACGGATATAGTATCAGTGAGACTTAGCAAGACTTTTAAGGAACGATCTCAAGTGACTGGATGAAAAATAATCGCCCCCGCGTCGTCCGCCTCGGCGACTCGAGAGGCCTCGCGATCCACCCTTTTCGACCTTTGTTCCGCAAAAATGTTGGGCAGGACCATGGTCCAGCCGAACCTACGCTCAAAGCCATTTGTGCATGGTTGATTAAACAAGTCATGGCGAAAAAAGTTTGCATGCTATAGAATGCATGGCGCGAACTATTCAAGGGGGTTAGCTGGTGTGGTCATGCATTGCGTGAATTGTTTATTCTAGCTTATGAGCCCTACATCGCTAAGGAACCCTACTCAATTCGTATACAATAGGCAATATAATAGTCAAGACTCCAACGGGCATGGCAATGTTGTCTTCATGCATCTCAACATTGTTTCCTATTTGTTTATTTATTCTCTCTTCCCAAGAGCAACAATGAGTAGGCTAATGTATACGATGCAATGACAAGGTAGAGAATCTACACTGTTTACTATTTGTTTATTTATCTTTTTTGGGGAAGGTTTGTTTGTTGGTTGGTTTATCCTCACCCCACACCTCTTTCTCTTTTCATTTATCCAGTCTATGGCAAACAGTGTTCGCTCACATAGTTCTTTTTCAACAAGAACTCTTCCGGTTCAAAGTCCAATGATATCGGTAATACTTAATAGATAAACAAAATTCCTCAAGATATCTCACATATATTTTTGTTGTTGCAAAAAACATCAACAAGTTGGTCCACCAACAAGGGAATGTTCTGAATACAATCAAGAAGGGCCTTGCTGACTAAACGAAGCCTAATGCCTTCAGTTTATATGATGGTGCCGGGAGCTTCAGCCAGAAAAAACATGATAAAAGTAAGTATATTTCTTGTTGTTACAATAACTTCTGTGTTTTGTGTGTGTGTGTGTTCAGTTCACATTTTTTGAAACTGGGAGGTCTGACATATCTGCCTCTATTATGAAAATCAAGTGTTTTCATGTCACTTTATGGTGGCATCTCCGTTGGAAGTAGTGTTTTTGTGACAGACAATTCATATGTTAAACATCTTCAGATAACATATCTATGAATTTATAAAAAATAAACAGTACTTTCATGGATGAACAGACAAAGAGTTATTTACCCAAAATCACCACACTTGGGGCTAGGGTAACCAGTTGGTACCAGATTTGTGCCAAGGCACAAAAACCCACTGAAAATGTGCCTAACATGTAACGCGGAGCACTGATGCTGGGATTTGGTCGCGAAAACAGCCGAACCGACAGGTAGGGCCCGCCAAAGACCAAGCAAATAAAAAAATGTTGACTAGGTGAGGTGGCAGATGAGATGCGGGTCCCGCCTGTCATTGACACGTGTTCATCTTCATCCCATCTTTATTTCTTTGGAGCATTGCGTCGAGCAGCTCGTGGGCATCCCAGCCATCTCTGCCATGCGAGCCGAGAGCTCTATAGCCATGGAAGCCAAGCCCCTGCTCAAGCTTGCCCCAGGCCGCCTCAGCCTCTTCCCTACACGTCATGAACCCTCGAATCCCGCCGCCGTTCCCGCCGGCATGGACGGCCGAGCCGAGAGCTCCATGGCCACCATGGCCACGGCAGCCGAGCCCTACTCGAGTTAGCCCAGGGCTGCCTTACGCTTCGCGTCGGCGTGCTAGCCTGTGGGCAGGGCTAGCAAGGAGGCGCAGCTCCCGCGCTGCCTCTTGGGCAGGGCGACTGCGTCGGACAGCGCGACGGGCAGCCTCCATGGACGACGACAAGCATGCCCTTGCCTTCTTCTTCACGCAGGTGTGCTCATTCATGGCGTCGGCGTGTCCGAGCACTCATACGTGCTCAAGGTGAGCCACTCGCTCCTTCCCCACGCTCGCCCGACACCTTACCCGCGCCGCCGCGTATGCTAGCTTCAGCAAGGTGGTCACCACCTTGGTAATTGGTAGGAGGATAGGAAGAGCTGCGTGAGCTTGCGGACGGGATGGAGAAGTCCGGCTCGCCGTTCCTTTGGTCGCTGCTCCAGCGTGGCCATGGCATTCTGTGCCTTCTTCAATGGCTACAGGATGAACGCAGACAAAGTGCTCGATGGAATGCTCCATAGGAAAAATGTTGTGAAGAAGATGACTTTCTAGTCATTGACAGGTAGGGCCCGTGTCTCATTTGCCACATCAGTCGGTCAAACTTTTTGGTCTTCGCCACGTCAGCCCGACAGGCGGGCCCTATCTGTCGGTTCGGCTGTTTTCGCGACCAAATCCTAGCATCAGTGCTCCGCGTTACATGTTAGGCACAATTTCGGTGGGTTTTTTGCCTTGGCACAAATCTGGTACCAACTGGTTACCCTAGCCTCAAGTGTGGTGATTTTGGGTAAATAACTCGCAGACAAACGTTTTTTTATTCATCGGACATTGGCTCAAGCGCTAAAGTGCCTAGAGAAGTGTGCCAACCCATCAATACGAAGTAAACGAAACTAGCCCGCGCAGGCCTAGGGGTGCGCTAGCCCATCAGTATAAGCAAAGAGATTAACGCAGACCTAGAGTTGTTTAAGCCTTAACCCATTTTTTTGAATTCAAAGGCACACCGATCCGCATGCAGAAGGCTGGAGAATCGTACGACGTGGACCATAGGTTCGACCGAACCATGATCCTGAATCGCGCGTCTCCTTCGTTCCGTGCGCCCATCCCTTGCCGCCGGTCGGCACCAGCGGGCTTGCCCGTGCGGCCGCCGGTGGCGGCGGGGTCTGTTCCCGTGGCATTTTAGGCGGGCATCTGATGAGGTACGAGCAGTGACCAGACGTCAAAGGTTGGAAATTGCAGCAACAATGACAGATCGTGGACGTGAGCGGTGGCCTCGTTGCTGGCATACCATGCGGATGCAGCTCTATCTTGGTTGGGAAGCGACCTCGTTGGAGCCAGGAAAACTGCACAAGAGATGCAACCTGTTTCAACTTGGATGACCTGATGACTCGTGGTCGATGTATGACGACGGTCATGTCCTTCCCCTCGATGTCATCTGCTACAGCAGGCGAGGATAGCGAAGCTAGTGGCGGCGCACGGTGGTGCATCTTCTGATGCAGATCAACCATCGGCTGCCACTTCTGACGATGATGCGGGGCCTCCAAAGCGTCCCAAACTTGGGATTTTGGCAATGACAATGCCCTTCCTCATTGTCAATGACTTCGTCATGTTGTGGCGAGCAGCTCTTGACACGGCTCATCAGCTTGCTCGTGCCAGCATGACCTTTGCTCGCGTCAGACCCCGTGCGCGTATGCAGTTGCTGGGATCGTGGCAAGTGGAGGAGACAACATAGGATGACTCGATTGGGTGGTGCTTCTCGAGTACCTGGTCTCGGTCTCCGGGGTGAAAACCCTAGGTCCGACCCTTGTTAGTTATACCTGACAATGACGCCGTTCTTTGTGTCGTTACCCTGATGAGGGCATTATTGGAGTATGCTCGGACTTGTTCTTCAGGTTGAAAACCCACGATCTGCCCTTCGGAGGTTGGATCCTTTGCACGATCTGCCCTTCAGAGGTTGGATCTGGCGATGACGACGTTCGCGTGTCCTTCAGAGGTTGGATCCGGCGATGGCGACGTTCGTGTGTCGTTTCCTTCCTGAAGACATCGCCTTTTGAGAACCTTTTTCGCAGTCTTTATGTTGTCAAGAGACTTTTGAGAACCTTTTTCATAATCTTTATGCTGTCAAGAAACTTTTTGCCGACGGTGTAGTCTTTATGCTGTCAAGAAACTTTTTGCCGATGGTCACTGTTGTATATGACTTTGCTGTGTACCGACGCGATCGTGTGTTCGCTGTGTACATCATAGTTATGCAGAAGCCGGGTGTATACTCATTGTGATTGTATCGCTCGATTATAAGTTATGAGTCAATAGATAGCGCCCTTCACCAAAAAAGCAAGACTTAAAAAAAAAGGTTGATGGCATTCCAGAAACCAGGTCTCGGCGCCGGCGAATCCAGCGCCGCCGGCCGACCACCACCACGGATCCAACCAAACCTACTGATCCCATGTACAAAGATGCTAGTACAACGAAAGCGACTCCCTGACTGACCGACAGACAGGTGGCTACACATACAGACAGCACTGCAACCTATCACCAACCACGCCACACATCACATGATGCCGGGCTGATCGAGGTGGTCGCTGCAGTTGGTCGACGGCACGGCGGAGAGCTCCAGCCTCCCCGTCCACTCCTCCCCGGGCCTCAGCGTGATCTGCCGCTCCGCCGCCGCCGCGTCCACGCACAGCGTCTGCTTGTACTCCTCGTCCCCGAAGTCCGCCATCGTCTTCGCCTTCTTCTCCCACGGGTTCCACACCACTGCCATGCCAACAGCACCATCACGGAGGAGATATGCAGACTGCGTTACCATCATACACCACCATGGCCGGACGGATGGAAACGGATGAAATGATGTGCGTCGGTGTCTTACCGGTGTCGGGGAGCCCGTCCTTCCTGATCACGAATGTGCGCTTCTTCTCGTGGTCCAGCACCGCTATCACGTTCGGCGAGCTGACGTACACCCGGTCGACCTGCAGGCACACCAGGTGTTAGCACCAGTTAAGTTTTCACTGCAGAGAAACAGCACGATTCTGAAATTTCGACATTGCTAAATGAAATGCATACTGACATTCGAAAAGATGGGTTTGAGTTTGAGCTAGTATCAATAAATTGAAATGTATACATTACTGTTGAAGCTTCTCTTAATATTCAGATATTCACCTCTGATTCGAAGGTTATGGCGTCTCCTTGTTCGGTGTGGCGTTCCCGCTGGCTGAGATTGTCCAGGTAATCGAGGGTCTCCAGGCCTTCTATCCTCACCTCGCTGAAGTTAACAGGGCATGCCAAAAGTCATTTGTGTCAACATTGTATGACATCAACAGAAGGCAGTTCGACAGTGAGGCGCAAGAAAGCGCTTATGTTGGGTGCATGTCGGCTGACCTGATGTCTGAGACTGAGAGGTATGTGTGGTAGGCAAATGAGAAACTGAATGGCTTGCCATTAACGTTTCGGATGCGCGATACCAGTGAGAGGTCACCATCCTTTGTGAGAGAGATTCTCAGCCGGAACTCGAAACTGCAACCAAAATCAAGTGATCAGGTAAAATGCATGCAAACACTGAAGGGAAGGGGTACAAATACGGAACAAGAACGAGAGAACAAGGAAATCCCCCTCTCATTCTTATGTCTTCAGCATCTATATTCGAAGTGGCTACCAGTCGCCAATTAAATGCGCCGCTGAATCTTAACCATACTCATCAGAAAAATTACCCTATATGTATGAACATCGATATTATCATGCTACATTCTCTACCTAAAGGAACATTGTCACTAAACGTGCACCGCATATCTAATCATACGAATATCGAAGAACAAAATATCATCAGAGGTACAGGCTTCGGCTGTTAACAGAAAGTATGTGCAGCCAGAAAGTAGGTGCAGATTAATCAACAGAGATGAGATGCACACCTATGTGGCCAGCTCTTCACGTCCTCTTCAGATGGCTTTAGGATAAGGTCAACGGAAGATCTGCTGCCGCTGTCACTGCGACTTAATCCTGGATGCTCCTCGTCAAGGGCCCACATTCTGTTCCTCGCAAATCCATGTCGCTCCAAGGTCCCGCAGTTTCCAAACTGATAGGGTTTGAATTATTATCAGTAAACTCCAAGAAAAACAAGCAGCTCTGCTCTCCTATCCATTCCCTCCATCCGAAAAAGCTTGTCCCAAACTTGTCCCTCAAATTGATGCATCTAGCACTAACTTGGTGCTAGATACATCCATTTGGGGGACAAGCTTTTTCGGACGGAGGGAGTAGTATGTTGTACCCTCTGATATGCAGATAATCAGATACAAAACTTATCCGCGGGATGTAGTAGTGTGGTACCTGTGGAAAGCATATCGGAATCCCGCCACGCATCGCCTTTGGTGGCTTCATGATTGCCTGCACACCAACAACCACGGTTATATGCAAGTGCCTAGTAAGACAATGGAACACATAAGACATAAGAGTAACTAACTGCAACTGTGGTACAGCCCCACATGTCCTACAAATTGGACGAATGACTATGGATCAACGAAGCCCATGCTCGGACGGAGGTAGCACCATAACTGACTATGGAGGAAGGCATTGTGGTTCATGGACCTTAATTGGGACCACAAAGTATGAAGTATGTGAACTATGGAACAAAATTCTAGCCTGTCTTCTCCAACCACCATTACAGTCTACTTAAACACTCTTGTCTGTCCTCCGATGTTAAATTCAGAAAATGCATACAGCCTGCGCATAATCCACCCCCACATTGGCGTAATTGTACGCAACAGTGAAAGCAAGTGACACACTGAATGGGGAATTTGTATTTTGTACTGCTCGACATGAATTTCTCCGGCACGGCACAGCACAGCACAGAACAGAGCAGAGCAGAGCTGAACTGAAGAGTGAGGAGCAGGAGGAGGGGTAGGCTAGGCTGACCTTGCTGCTGGTGAAGAGGAGTTCGTCGCCGCGGTCGTTCGTCCAGGAGACGACCTGCCCGCCGTGCAGGCTCACCTGCAACCAATGCCCCAAAACCCCATCAGAAATTCAGAATCACGCCCAACCCGACCAGCCTGAGACTCTGAGAGTGAAGATGGGGGACGCACCCGCGCGGTGGCCCCGCTGGGCGAGCGGAGCAGGACGGCCTGGCCGGCCCCGTCCCTGCCCGCCTCCGGATCCGTGGCGCCCGCGTAGCGCCCCATGCTCATCCACTGCCGGCAGCCGGCCGGAGCCAATCGAGCGCAGATCGACGGACGGGCGAAGCGAGCACGGGTGGCACCGCAGGAGGAGGAGGGGCGCGGGATATGTATGCGGCGCGGCGCGGCGACGTCGGCGTTGGGGCGGTTGGGGCGTCACGCGCGGCGGCACTTTCCGTGTGAGTGAAAGCAAAGGCGGCGGAGAACCCGTGAAGCGCCCGTGAGCCACCACCCACCTCACCTCACCTCGCCTCGCCTGGCACCTGGCGCAGCGGCCGTGGCAGCGCTCCTCCTCCACCTCCGCCTCTCCTTTTCTCCCCAACCAAAACTCCACCCGCCCGCCTGCAAGCCCACCCGCAACCGGGGGAGGGAGGGAGGAAGTCCACAAGGCACGGCACGTCGGCACGGCAGCAGCAGCGAGCAGAGCAAAGCAACCTAGCACTAGCAGCGGATCACACGCAATGCCATGGGAGGGAGAGGCTCCTGACCTCCGGTGGTGGTACTACTGGCAGGCAGCAGGTAGTAGTAGTAGCTGGTCTGGGCTGGGTGGCGCCGGAAGAGAGCGAGGGAGGATCCGAGGCGAGATCCGGGGCGGCCGCTGCCACGTGCGCGCGTCCGGAGGGAGGCGGGGTGCCGACTGCCGTGCCGAGTGAGTGAGTGACTGGCTCGCTTGGCCCGCGCGCGCGTGTCCTCTTGCCGACCCTCCTCGTAGCTGAGCTCGTGGCCGTGGCCGATTTTGGCGCTTCTCGAGGCGTTTCCCGTTGCCACGGCGCACCCGCTTTTGACCCCTAGCTGGTGTACTGGCCTTCCTGTTTGCCACCGGAAAAACAATTTTTTGAACTTTTGAGCCGCCTCCGCGCTCCAACTTTTTATTGTATGCGGTCATTTTTTTTTGGGTGATATGTGGTCAATTATGATTGACCATATAGTAGATTGAATAAACAATCCAGAGGGGTCATTATGTGTGGATTTATCATCATGCTTAAACCACAATCATGACATGTGCAAAAGTTAGCATGATGCATACACCATTACTACTTGCCATGATGATTTTTTTAGAAAGACTCTCAATCTATTCATCAAACATCAAGACTGTACAAAAAACATAAAAAGCACCAAAAATTACATCTACACCACATAACGACAACCACAAGCACTAGAGCAAGCCGAAAGCGTGTCACCGTTATCGCGCGTACCTCACTAGAGCCGGGCAAACCTTATTGTAGTAGACAATCGGGAAGTCGTCGTGCTAAGTGCATCTCCAACAGTCGCGCTAAATATCGGAAAAAGCAACTTTTAGCGCGCGTGGGCCGGTTTGGCGCGCTCCAACAGGGGCGGGAGAATCAGGCGCGGGAAAAAGAAGTGCACGCGCGTGTGAAAAAGCGCCCCCCGCGCATGGCAGATTTGGCGCGCAGCGTCGGGCGCGCTCTATAAAAACAGCACGCGCTCGCCCGCCAATCGTCACTCCATTGCCTCCTTCTTCCCCGCCTCGCCGTTCTTCCTCGCCTCCAGCGCCCCGCCGCTGACGCCGCACCCTTCTACCCCCGCCGCCGTGCCTTCTCCCCCGCCGCTGACATGCCGCCGCGCGTACGGAGCACCTCCGGCTACCGCGGCGTCCGCGTCCGCCCCTCCGGCATGTTTTACGCGGAGATCCGCTCCGATAATACACGTCTCAGCCTGGGGACGTTCGAGACCGCCCACGAGGCCGGCCGCGCGTACGATGCGGCGGCTTGGCGCCTCTCGAGGCCACGTTCGCAGATGAACTTCAATAATGCACGGATGTGCCAGCAGGCGCATGACCTCGCGCCTCTGCCGCGGCTAATCACCGACGAGGACCGCCGCATCCAACGTAGGCGGGAGCACTGTCTCCTCATCGCCGAGGTAGACGAGTACGCCATGGTGGAGTGGCGCCAGCGCTTCCCGCAGGACGTCGCCGCTGAGAACGACTTTTGGGCGGAGAGGAGGGCAAAGCGAGCTGCGGATTGGGCGGACAGACATGGGCGGAAGGCCCTGGCGATAGCGTAGTGCAAATTGGGAGCTGTGTCGACCTTTGACAACAATAATCCTCGGTGGGATGACGCGATTCTGTCATCGGACTACACCAGTGAGGAGGAGGACGACAACGAGGAGTAGTTTCTAGTATATTTGTACCGTAGTATCGTTTTTGTTATCTATTTTTATTTGTATCGTATGGACTTGTTCGTGGTGTTGAGGTTGAACTATGTTATCTATATGTCGTATTTATCTATTATTTGTATCATATGGACTAGTTTCATATTGTTCTTATCTACTGTATGGTAGCACAAGCACGCCATTTTTTTGCAGCGCCTGCTAAAGCCACATGCGCACGCAATATTTTGCAACAATCACTAGAGGCAGAGCTTTGCTGCGTGCAAAAAGATGTTGTTTCGGCGCTGTAAAAGTTATTTTAGCGCGCTTATTGAAGATGCTTTAAGGCCTAAGGCTCCACATGAGTACCAGTACACCAAAACAGCAACCGTCGTCGATGATGAGAACCATAGAGCAAAAGAATCTAGCATGTAGACACACGAATATAGATGAACGAAGATCGAATCCAATTGGATCCACCAAAGGCAAAAACCAAACGAATCTCGTTACAACCGTCGGAGACATACCTCCACATGCCATCTAACGATGCTAGGCACACCACCAAAACGAGGATTAGGCGAAAAAAACATTACTCCATCTTCAGAGAGGCGACACCGACTCGCCTTCCTAAATTATCAAACTCGGATAAAACACCTGAAAACGAAACCCTCCCACTGACAGGGACCAAGATCAACCGTGCCTCCGTGGGCTAGGAGCAACGGTCGAGTTGAGTCTCGTAGGCGATTTTGGCGTTTCTCAAGGCGTTTCCGTTGCCACAGCTCTCAGCTCCAGAGGCCGCTTTGACGCCTAGCTGCTGTACTGGCCTTCTTGTTTGCCACCGGAAAAGATCATCCAACTTTTTTCGTTGCGCGCTCCAACTTATTGCATGTGGTCAATTATGATCGACTATGGTCTATGGATAGTAGTAGGATAAACAATACAAAGTGGTAGTTGTGTGTAGATTTGCCGTTATGCATACACGCTGCTTGCTATGACGCTCAGAGCACATCGTGGCAATTGTGTGTAAAATTATCATGACGCACACACACTGCTTGTCATGTTGCTCAAAAACCCTTCATAGCCATTGTGTGAAAAATCTGTCATGATGCGTACACGCTGCTCCCTTCGTCTCAAAATAAATATCGCTGATTTGTGACGAGAGAGCACTTATCATGACGCTAAAAAACACATCATGGCAATTACGTGTAAAAATTGTCACGATGATACACTACTAGGAGAAAGCCTACTAGTAGCGCTGGAAATAACCATAGCAGTAGCGCTGACGGCAGCGCTACTGCTAAGGTTAGCGTTGTTTCAACCAGCGCTAGTATTAGCTATCTGTAGCGCTGCATAAAGACAAACACTACTGCTAAACCAGCGCTGCCGCTAGACGCCTACCAGTGCTACTGCTAATATTCCTGCTTTCACAGATTTATTCCCCCTCTATGTATTTGTGTTGTATTTGTACATGCTCTATACAGTAGTTTCATCATATCTAAACATACATTATTCTCATCATATCATACACATACAGTGCTCTCGTCGTACCATCATCATCATCATCCAACACAAATATCATCACATCTCGAAAAATAGCGATATACAAGTCATGTCATGTCTCGAATAAATGCAACTGCATGGTCACGGCACACACACAAGTTTCATAATTATCCAAACCATTATGTAGAAGAGAAGAGCGATCAATATGAGCAAGAACGCGACTACGTAGTACTTCTTGAGGCACCGGTTTCGCCTCCTCTCTTGCCAGAGCGTCCACCTCAAATAACTATTTTCCGCTTCGGCTCTGCTGTCGAACCCTCTGTGGCTAGCGCACGGGTACCTGTCCACCTGGGCCTGAGCGTCTGGCCAGTGGTCATACACTCCTGGCACCCTCCCAGTGAATACGACGTAGCAGTCATTCGTCATCTCTGGTCTATGTACCTGCATCGTTAGTTGATGAATTCAACGATAATATCCAACAAAATGTACTTGAGAAACACAAAGAGGCATAGTTAGCAAAATACAAGCAACCTATAGTAAACATAAATAACGAAGTTCCTCAGACCCAAACTAATTAACTAGAGTGATCTACGCTAGTTCAGAAGGACGGTTTAATTACATCGCAGAGTTTTGTTGTGCAATTCAAAGTTTTGTCATAGGAAGATAGTAGTGACTAAACAGACACGTTGTCATCGTCAATCACTCCTCCATGTCGGCGGTCCAATCTGCATAGTCAGGGAGGAAGCACCCGAGCTTCGTGAAAGGCTTCAGGTCTAGACGATGAGCGAGTAGCAGTGCTCGAACATCATCCCGCGTGATTGGCCCATGGTAGAACATCCATGTTAGTTCGAGGACCTCCTTCATGAACACTTGGGCAAGTTCACACTGTACGTGATAAAAATCAGCTCAGATACGATGATCCGGTGTCCTTCCTATGCTTGTGGCCCAGTTGACAATCTCGGCATCGCTGGAAGTAGCTGACATGCGAAGGCGTTGATTATCCCTTCTGTACTCGATCATGTGATGCATGAGGTAGAATCCATCAGCCTTACTGGCATACGGTTGTTGGATGCAGCAGAAGTCGGTCTTATGGACTAAACTCAGCCCCTTCTTCCTATACTTTTTCACCTTGATATATCCACCAGACAGGCTGAAGGTTAATATGGTACCATCGAGAACACTCTTTATGTGCGTGTAATCATTTTTCTTGATGTTCTTCGATGAGTCCAAGTACAGAGCATGAGAGTATTGTGGGTACAGACAGATGAGGACGCCCCCCCCCTCCGTTGCGCAAAATAAGTACACCTCGAATTAGCCTCCATGCTTGCAAAGGAATGATTAAAACTTACGAAAGAATATCCGCGGATGACTTACGTGGGATGACAAAGCAGGAGAATCGTTTC